ATGCCAAGAGGGCTTCTGTCTCTCTTTATTTGTCCCTCATATTCAAAAACACTCTTGGATGGAAATCTAAACAAAGTGGCATTATAGCAACCTGATCTGCTAATTGGCTGGCATTTGATGCCCTCTTTGGAACCGAACTCTTTGTTTTAACAGGGAAAACTCATGAGGGCTCTGAAATGGAATTACTTCCATAGCAAGTGGAACCTGTTAGAGCTGGCCATCATCACCATCAGCTGGAGCGCCCTGTCAGTGTTTGTGAGACGGACCATCTTGGGCTTGCGGGACATCAGTTACTACCAGGAGCACAAGGACGAGTAAGTTCTCATTCTCGTAGAGCGTTCCAAATTTCCCTTGCTGGCGGAGGGAGACGGGGTAGAACTGGCATCTAGGATTTGAAATCAGGCCTCCTTCGCTTCTGTCTCACACCTTTATCCGTTTCCCCCAATGTGGCACTCTTACCCTTACCCCCAATGAGTGGGTAGTTGTTCTTTATACAGTGGTGCCTCGCTAGACGATGATAACCCGTTCCACTGAAATCGCTGTTTAGCGAAATCATTGTCTAGCAAAAAGTATTTCCCCATTGGAATGCATTGAAACCTGTTTAATGTGTTCCAATGGGGAAGAATCGTCGCTGTCTAGGAGGATTCTGCCCCCACTGCCCCACAATAGCTCATGGTGGCGGTTTCCCCGTTGTCCCAGGTTTGCGAGTTTCAACCAGACAGCAACCGTGGACGCTGTCCTGGGCTACCTGATTGCCTTTCTGGTGCTTCTTGCCACCGTGAAGCTCTGGCATCTCCTGAGGCTGAACCCCAAGCTGAACATGATCACCTCCACCCTGAGGAGGGCCTGGGGAGACATATCTGGATTTGCCACCGTGATTATAATCATGTTCCTCGCCTATTCCGTTGCTGTGAGTAGTCACCTTCTGTTTCATCTCTTACCCAGGGAACAGTTTCCATCTGTTCATACTTTCTGTGGTTTTCCCCCTCCTTTGCATTATTTTGATAGTGATTGTCACAGCCGGCCCTAAGATTAGGCAGAAGGAAGCGACCACCCTGGGCAGCTGATGCTGAGAATCCCCAAACAGCATCTCCTTTCTGTTCCTCTCCATTGAAGGATTGTCCCTCTTAGACTAACTTCCTTTCTCAGACTAGCCTTCTCCGGAATAAAGATCAGATTAAACTCCCAGTCCAGCCAGCCACTGGATGCGGACTGTCAAGAGGGCCCTCGATCACCCTATGCTTCAGACAGAAAAATGTCTCGAGGCCTGATCTTCTAACAATAATTAATGGAGGACAGACCACATGCTACTTTAAATAGGTGACTGCATTTTACAGGTCTTGGTTTTAAAACAAAAATGGTTGTGGTGGGTGATTTAGGGTTGGGGTTAGACATGGGCACGAACCTCCGGTTTGGCATGGTTTGTTTCCCGATCCGTGGTTCGGAATGGCAGCGCCCTGTGCCACCTTCCTTCAGACACTGCTACCGAGTAGCTGCCTGCTGGAGGGGCACCAAATCACAGATCAGCTGTTCAGCCAGGAAATGATCTGCGCCAAACTATAATTCCCCCCTTCTGTTCTTTGCAATCTTGAAAAGGAAGGAAGGAAGGAAGGTGCCATAACATAAGCTGGCTCAGAATTTGGAGACCTCTTGGACAGTGGCTGGACTCGATCAGCCATACATAGGGCCTCTCCTAGCTCTGCGGTTCTCACATGATGATGATTTGCATGCAAGACTTTTTCAAAATTTATTTTCGAATTGCAGACAAACTTAATATATGGATGGAAGCTAAACTCGTACAAGACGCTCTTTGATTCAGCAGAGACGATGGTCAGCCTTCAGCTGGGAATCTTCAACTATGAAGAGGTATCGCATCCTGGTCGTTAGATGTTCCCCGGGATCAGTTAAAGCCACAGGGCAGTTATTAATTTAATTGCATTGACCGTACATCTGCACTGGCAGGGGGTTGGACTTGATGGCCCCCTGTGGTCTCTTCGAACACCGTGGTTCTACGATCTAGCACTATCAGTGTGCATGATTCCCCCAGTTTTGGTGCGCTCCTCTTAGGTTAGATGACATAAATCCCCGTTAACATTCTGTGTTTTGTTTTTCCAGATCCAAAGTGTATTCAGCCCACAAATAGGCATACCTGAGTCTCCAGCTGAGTTTAAAATATCTTGCAAAAGGAGCTTTCTCTTCCTCTCCGTGGAACAGCAAAATGCCTTGGTGACATTTATCTCTGTTTTCCAGGTCTTGGACTACAATCCGATTTTGGGATCCTTCTTAATTGGCTCCTGCATAATTTTCATGACGTTCGTGGTGTTGAATCTCTTCATCTCTGTGATCCTTGTGGCTTTCAGTGAGGAGCAGAAACATTATCAGGTTTGTTGATGGATGTGCTTTGGCCATCCCAGCCATCAGCTGGCTAGATAGTTCGATGGGTTAGGTATCGGTCTGTGGATCCAGAGGTTGGGGGTTCAATTCCCCACTCTTCCTCTGCAATTAGAGAAACCCTAGGTGGCCTTCGGCCAGCTGCATGCAGTCCCAGGGCATCCCTGGAAGAAGAAGGGAAATGGGAAATCTGAGCACTTTCTAACGAGAATTGACTGGACAGCATACAGTTATTACTATTTATTAATCCCATAAATTGAAAGCCCAAATTGCTTTGCCATGTACTCTCTTTTTATATTGGGAGGTTCCACTAAAAACCAGGTTTCCTAAGCTTGATGCCTCTAGTTGAATGGGACTACAGCACTCATCGTCCCCTTACATGCACACTGGCTAAGGATGATAAGAAATGCAGTCCAAAATATTTGGAGGGTGCTGGGTTGGGACACGTGGCGCTGAACCAAAGGATTTCACCGATTTGCAACGTTAATAGAAACAGCTGGTGTCACAGTCCTCAGATGTAAGCCCCATTGGTTTTCCTAATACTGTAAGTATGTACTAAGTTGCAATGAACGCAAGCCTGCACATTCGCCAGCCCTGTCCGTCACAACCAGATTTATTACTGTGCAAAAAGGCGTAGAAGTGCAACTTCCAATTTGCAAATCTTGGCATGCTTACACGGGAGCAACAAACTCCTATAATTCAACTCAATGGACTTCTGATCCGAGTAATCATGGTTAGGATCCGTTTGCTTGAATACAATCCTCTTCTCACTTAAATTGACAGTTTACATAGTCAAGCTGTAAAAGTTATACTTGTTTGATTTATGTATTTATTTATGTATTTATGTATTTATGTATGTATGAATGTATGTATGTATGTATTTATTTATTTATTTATTTATTTATTTATTCTAAGTATGCCTACTCATTTATAAGAACTTCTAGGGCTATGCTTTCAGAATGAAGACAATTTTCCATCGCCTTTCATTTACTGTGCACTCGCCTTTAACATAAATTGCTTTGCTTAGCATCAGCTCCTCATCAGAAAAACTGAAGTAATTTATGAATCATGCCCACGGCAGCCTTTCTGAACCAGGAAAATCCAGTCCCCGGAGATTCTGTATTCAGCAGGGCCTGCCGAGATCTTTCCCACGCCTGTATTTCTCCATCCGTATTATTACATGGAATCGTACACAAGCACAGCAATCGCTTATTGGAGGCAAATTGTAACTGTTATGTGTACGTGTGTGTTTTAAGGCTTCAGAAGAGGAAGAGATAGTCGACCTAATGTTGAAGAAAATCTGCAGTTTCCTCGGCATTAAATGCAAAAATGAGAAACCTGACTGTAAGAAGCCACTGGAAGACCCTGCAAGCAACTAACAACGGGCGAGGCGGTCCCTTGTCGTCACTTCCGTTTACAGATATTTCATTTAAATATTGTGTTTCCTGCGCTAGTGCATGCTATAGCTGTTTTCAGGAATCGAAACTTTAACCTGATGCTTAACAACTGCATTTCAGATAGTGGTCTTAATTGTTTATTGACAGACATGGAAGCAAGACTAAGACAATATGAAATTAATCCCGCTTAATTCTACACACTTTTATTCTGTGATTATTCCGCCGTGTAATATAATAAACACTATCAAAAGAATTATTTGTTGTTTAAAACTGTAATGCAGTTGCCACTGCAGTGTACTATGCACTCTTAGAGTAGGACCCCGGTATCCACAAGGGATTAGTTCCAAGCCATCTCACAGATGCTGGAAAATGGGGATCCTAGTGAACCCCATTTTAATGGCCAATGCATACCCTGGCATGGTCTCTCACCCCCTCTAGTAGCCAGGTCTGGTAGCTTCACCTTTAAAAATATGTATTTCTAGGATTTTTTTAAACGTTTTCAGACATTCATAAGTGAATCCTGGCCATCACACACCTAGTGCTGAAAGCTTCTGGCAGTTTTTGCATCTGGGACCCCAAGGTTGGGAACCCCTCTCTTACAGCCTTGCAGGAACATTTAACTGCACAGAGCAGTTCCCCTTCAAGGAGCCACCCCCGCCTCTCTCTTTTTTTTCCTGGTGGCAACTCCGAAAAGGCTCCTTCTCCCCCACCACGGACCCAAACAGTGCAGGGCCTGCCTAGTGGTGGCTCCTCCAAAGCAGGCACTCGCTCCCTCCCTCCCCGGCCTCCCAGAGCTGAGTGACGCTCGAGCCGCCAATGAGCCCCGCCCTCCCCAGCAGCGTCGAGAGGCCCCGCCCCTGTG